GCCCTTTGGAGGTAGCTCACCCCTGCTTCAGACAGGGTCCGGTGTGGAGCTGAGCCTGAGCCTGGGCCAGGCAGGCTAATGGGGTACTGCCACGGGGGTCTGACTGCGTTCCCCGATCGAGCACCAGAAGGGCCCGTTAGCTCACCGTGTCTGAGCCCTGGATACCCCAGACTCGCCCGTGGGTTGAGCCTTAGCTTGGTTGAGCTAAGTGCAGCTCCTGGGCTGTCCGGAGTGGACCGGAGCTGCCGGTGAGGGAGGCTGCCCTCTTCCCAGGGAGCTGGCCCCTGACTGCTGCCCTGCTCTGTCACAGAGCTGGTTTTTCTTGCCTTTCTCTGCACCATTTAAGAGGTGCCAGGCCCACTGGTTTTCTCAGGTGCACAGACAGGGCAGTGAGCCACCTCTCTGTCTCTTTGACAGACTGAGCAGATTGAGCCTGGTGGGTTTCTGCCAGACATTTTCTCTAGCCCTTAAACCATCGTTGCATCTCTTTCCCAAATTCCTCTCCAACTTTTCCGTGTCCAGTCTAAAGCAGGCCCTGAGGCTACAGGTCCTCTCCTGGCTTTGTTCTCGTGGGGCTGTATGCAGAGGTCTTTGCTCCATCCAGCTCTGTTTGCCCGTTATGCCTCGGCCCCCCCACCCTCCAGAGAGGCAGCTTCCCTGTGCTCGGCTGAGTGAGCGCCCCGTGTGCACCGTGCCGTGGGGCGTTTGGCTGCAATTAAAACCTTCCTGCGTGGACAGACCTTGAGTGATAACTGCCGCCCTGATGTCCCCTCCCCTGCCTCTGTTCGCTTCTCCACCAACCTTTGAGATTTCCTATGTACTCCCAAATCGCCGGTGCAACTAATGACACGACTCCCGCGCTCTTATCTGGTGCCCTTCATCAATGGACCTTGCCTTGTTTCACGAAGGAGGGTGGAGTGGCATGACACAGGCGGCGCAGCTGGGGAAACTAAGGCAGGCAGGGCGGAAGTGAATTTGCCGCAGTCAGCCGGCCGCAGCCGCAGAGCTGGGAGCAGCCCCAGCCTCCCTGTCGCCGGTCAGGAGCCCTGAGCGCTAGGAAACGCTTTGTGCTGACTATCTGGGGCCTTGCACCCGCTGGAAGTTCTCCGGATCCGTCACGGGGCGCTTAGCCCTCGCGGCGCGCGCGCTGCCCCAGCGCTCCCGAGGGTGCCAGGGGGCGGAAGCTGCTGCGCCAAAACGTTCCTCGGGGTGGGCGTTTCGTGCCCTGCCC